GTGAGACCAACAACTAATAATTTTAGCCTCCACTACAACAACGCTAAGTTTATTGTGGTCACAGTCCCTTATTTTTGAAACTTGCGCAATTTGGTCTCTAGTCCCTAGTTTTCATACAGGTTTAATCCCTAACTTTAAATTCGAATCAGGTCTTACCACTTCCAAATGCGTCCGAATTGGTCTTCTAAAGCGTTGAGAATGTTCAACGTGGTCTCCAAACTTCTCCATCTATAAACCATCTGTAAATTATTTGTGTTCTAATTGACAAGGAGTGTAGACACAAGAAAAGCTCTATTTGTCTATGCACCTTGATCTTACATAAAAATGTGATTATTGCATAAGTCAATTATGTTCTCGTTCTGGCAATTAAATAAATATTAATACGATCATGAACTTAATTTCAATCATACAACGTACAACTAAATAAAAAATGACAACTAGTGCTTCTTGAATAAGAGGCAATATAACATTAAAATCAAGACTTAATTCAAGTGGTAAGGGTAAAATTTTAATATATTGATGATGGAGTTCGAAGCTCCTTTTGGCCGTGAGGGCTCGCCTAGTGCTCGGTCCGCCCGTGTCAATATATTGAAGCTACATTTAATCATAATGAGTTATATCCATGTATTCATCACCTCTGTGAAATCCTGGGAACTTACTGTTGTGAATCTCATTAAGGTTTAACAAAAATTAGCCATACTCGCTTGGAAGAGAGAGAAAAAAGAATGACATCAGCAGCAGCAAGAGGAATAAATTAAAATATTCAAGAATTTTTCAGAATTTGAAAGAAAAAAAATCAGGGAATGAAAAGAATTAAAAATCAAACTAAAGGTAAAAAATAAAACTCTACAAAAATATAATAAATCTCAATATAATCATCACATGAAACCTAAAGAGCAAATAGATTTGTAGGGATTTCTCACCATTTGGCTTACAAGCAACGTACGGTCATGCTGCATGTACATTTTGTTTTACATAGGGTTGGACAAAACTCCCGAATCGAATCGGATCCGAATTGAATTGAACCGGATCGAGTAGTTCTTCATAAGTTAAATCCCTGAACGGGTACTTGAAATGAGAACCAACGGGTTCTGTTCGGTTCGGTTCTAGACTCAGAATCGAAAAAACCGAATTCAAATAATTTTTAAATTTTTTTTATATCGAATTAATTAATTTTTTTTTAATTTTTCCAAAAACAAAAATTAACTAATTTAGTGATTAATGTTCTAACTCCCAAACCAAGTCCATGCCTAGCTAGCCCAACCCAACCCAACCCAATTTCTAAATTCAATTTTTTGATTTATTTTTTTGGCCCAATTATTAATTTCATTTTTAGCCCACGATCTAGATTTTTTTTAAGTTTTTATCATTTTCTTTCCAATTCTACACTTTCATTCGATAATCAGTGAGTCACTGACCCAAAAATCATTTGATAAATTGAAAACTTACATCTACATGCCCAAATCGAAGCTGCTGATTATCGAGTCCGACTTTTCCTCTCCAACTGCCCATCGAAGTCGCGACCTCCGACCAAGACCACCGATTGTTGACCAATAGAAATCTGTTAAAAAATTTAAGTATGGTACTGAATATGATGTTCGCATGACTATATAGATGGGATCCTCTATAGGGTCGTAGATGAAAATATTAATATTTCCAATGTCTGAATTATGCCATTGTTTTGTGGAGATTAAAATCAGATTATTATTTTTATTTATTTTTTCTAAATTTTGGATGGCCTCTTTTAAGGTAGGGGAAGGGAGGAAAGACACGCATTCCTGGGAACATTACAAAAACAAAGTCTCCTTTTTAATGCATAGGAAAAATGGAGGGTCATTGTTGATGGTTGAGTGTGGGAAATCTTTTATGATTTATACATCTAGACACTAAAAGATTTCTTACCAATGTACTGGAGTCCATTCTTACTGTTCCTTACTATTATAAAAATATGGTTTTTACATGATTATACTGATGGGAACCTGGATAGGGTCGCAGATGAAAATATTAATATTTTCTATGATTGAATTATGACGAGTAAAAACTTTCATTAGCCACTGAACTTATCACACTGTCATGTTGTGGTCGCTAAACTTTACTTTGTTGCTCAACAATCACTGAACTTACAAAAACACCGCTCCATCCATCACCTCTCTCTCCGGCTTTTTGAACCCGTCCCACGTGGCTAGACGGCAGTCGACGTGGCCGTCGACGACATCAATTCCAGCCACGGTGGACACGTTTTTAACATAAAAACATGACTCCCGGACATTGCCCATCCATAAGCTAAGCCCCAATTCGAAAATTGATTGCCCTAATTCCTCCCACACGCTCCTCCAAAACCCTCTCCCAAATCGATTCGGTGAACACTTTGCAGAATTTCATCTCCTTCACAGCAACACCAGCCTCTTCTGCCTGTCTTTGTCGTCCCAGAACACCTAAACCAAACTAATTGTGCACACCATCCCACTAAACTGAAGACCAAGGTAAATTAATTTATTCTGTAACGTAACTTCCTTTGAATGAGATTTGTGTTGAAGCTGGTAGCATATAAAATGTGTTGAACAGCCGGCCCATGTTATTGAATAAATTGGATGTTGAATTTGAAGTGAATTCCACTACAGCACTACCTTGTTAAGTATGATATGCTGGCCAGTGTCTACTTTTGTTTGAGGAGGCTGCAAACTGGTACTCTTAGCCTCGAGAAGAAATTAGCATTTTTCCATGTGTACAAAAATCTTCCCAAAGAATTTCACATTAATGGAAAAATCCCCCACCCCCTACTATGAGTTGTTTGATGAAATTTAGCAAAATTGTACGTGTAAAAGTGCTC